TCTTCTTCTTCTTCTTCTTCTTCTTCTTCTTCTTCTTCTTCTTCTTCTTCTTCTTCTTCTTCTTCTTCTTCTTCTTTCTTTCTTTCTTCTTTCTTTTTTTTTTAATTTCATGTATTTGGTAAAGCATCTCACTACACAGCTCGGACTCCAAGTGATCCTCTTGTTTTCGGCCTCCCCAGTGCTGGGATTACAGACATGTGCCACCACACCCAGACTCGATCTACAGCTCAGCAGGCCCCAGGGGTGGGACTGGTTCAGCATGTGGGACTGGGATTTGAACCTTGGTCCCTGCGCTTGCCAAAGCAGGTGCTTAGTTCACTGAGCTGTGTCGCCAGCCCAAGAGCCTGTTTCCTTATCAGTAAAATGGGAGCAAATATTTTCTAAAGTTGATCAACAGCTGTTATTTCAGCAACAATCTTATTCATTTTTTGTCTCTGCAATGTCTACTGGAGCCTTTAGCATGTGGTGGGCACTCAGTAATGCTGAATGAATTTAAGGTAGATCTTATCTCCAGAGCTGCCGAGATTCCCACAACTAAAAGCCTATTATTTGTGCCAAGATAATGGTTCTCAGATTTTAGAGGGCAACAGAATCCTCTTGGGAAATTTCCCCAAGGTAGGACCCAGTGGTCCCACTTACAGGGGTCCTGATTTGCTTGGTTTGGGCAGAGCTCAGAAACCTGTGTGTCAAGCACCTCATAACATGATTTGGAGAGACGTGGTTTGAGGACTGCACGCATACTTTACAAAAGCATCCTCTTTGGCCCATAAATAAAATGCCAAACCAATGAAATTACCCCAAACCAAGGGGTAATTTTTTTTGTAAATAAAACCTTAGGGAAGAGGATGTGGATCAATGCCAGTAAGCACATTGATTTGCACTGAATGCACTGAATGTATGTATTCAACAGTTCATAGTCCCTTATATTTCTTTACATATAAATATTCAAAGCCACCCAACTTGGGAAAGGCAGCTCTATTACCAGATATAGAAGCAAGTTGTTTAAAATTTTATTGGTGGATCACAGAGAATGCTTCCCAATCAGTTTTCCTGCCAGCATGGAAGGGAGTGAGCAATTGCAACTGAGCCCCGGGTGCAGCAGCTGGCTTGTGCTTGCGTGAACTCACAGCTGTATCCTCTCCTTCTCTCTCCCTCTGTCTGTCTGTCTGTCTGTCTGTCTGTCTGTCTGTCTGTCTCCCTATCTCTATCTCTATACTTGTATCAATCTATATAATCTATATCTATCTCTCTCTATATATCTGTATCATCTATATCTGTCTGTATCATCTGTCTATACCATCTATATCTACATATCTGTGTCATCTGTATCTATCTTTATCTACCTGCTTAATTTTATATTATGAGGCTCCTATTTCTCATAGTGAGGCTTGCAGATTCTGAAAGTGAAGGAAGGTGTGTAGTGGGCCAAGCCTTCAGTGCTATTTAAGTTTCTCTTTCTGTGTTTTATGTGTGTGTAGAGGAAAATGTGCAATGGATTTCATGGTACAGTACAGGTATCTTCTTAACAATGTCAATATTGTATTTTTTTCAGGAGGAAGAAAACAGAAATTAGACCCCAGATTCTTACTAACCAAAGAGGACTTTTTATCTAATTTTGCTATTTTTAAGAAAGTAAGTTGGCCTTCATTTACCTTAAATAGGGAATCTGAGTTTTCTCACCTGAATCATGCACTAACCAGTTCTCCACCTCTCCCTTGACTAGGATGGGCAGGACGGTACACACCCCATCCTCTGGTCATCTGATCTGTTGTACATCACTCTAATCCCTGCGAATCTACAATTCATTGTACAGCTCTTTTGCTCATTGGCTTACAAAGCTGTCCTAAAGAAAATGAAACAGTAGTAGCAATTGTTTAGTGTTTCATTTTTCCAATCACTCTGTTAACATTTTCTTTTAGAAGGACCGAGTTTTAAGCTACAAATCTCATATGGTGGAAGATGGAGGAACTGATAACCCTGCCTTCAACCACGTGGAATTGAACTTCACAGATCAAAGTGACAAGGTCAATGGAACGCGGCTGTGAAGCAGCTCTATGCGAGATTTTAAATCATGTCTTAGTTTTGTATGTTTTTTAGGATAATGGGATCAGAATTAGATTTTTTTTCTGTCTAACATGTATGTTTTGGGGTCCTCATTTTTGTTCAAGTCAAGTCCCAACTTTCTTCCCTTCCTACAGTGATTTATTATGTTCCTCAAGAGTCAGGAGCTTGAGCCTCAGCCGTCCCCTCTCTCTTATTTCAGTGGGGTGAAGTTGTGACTACGTATGTGCCGAAAGGCTAACACATATCAGCATGTGATACTTGATGGTCAGAGGCATGTTCTTCACTTTGGGCATTATTGAAAATATTTTCCATGCCTCTGCTGCTGGCACAAAACTTTCAGCATTTGCGAAAGTCATAATCAATGTTGAAAAGAGCTTTGTCCCTCCCACCACATACTCTGTTTGTAGGGAGACGTGAAATGACAGATTCATGTTGTGGGGGGCTTCCCTTCTTATCCTGGCTCGGCCCAGGCCAGAGAGGGACCTTGGAACTGATTCCAGGGCGGGAAGGTGGGAATCAGGAAACAGAGACCCAAGCGACCGTAGATTCCTGGATTATTTCTTGTGCCTTTGTGCGAGGAGCCGGGCCGTTGGTTGCCTGTATTACTTAAGACTGTGGTTCTGATCTGCATTCCTAGTATCTGGACCACTAATTTGCCTTCCTAGTCTCCCATTTCCCCTACTGCCCCGGCTTGGGTATGTCTTCAGACGCCCACTATGAATCATGCCACACAGACTTCACCGAGTTCACCCAGCCTGGAAATGACAAACTCTCACGAGCCTGGTACTGATTGGTGCACACTGATGTGGGTTCTTTCAGATTTGGTGACCCTACCACACTGTATTTTAAAACATGTTGAAGTTCAAGGTTGGGGCTGTAGCTCAGTGGTAGCGCACTTGCCAGGCATGTGGAAGGCCCCGGGTTCCATCCCCAGCGCTAGAAAAGAAAGTTAATTTGCATGGACTTAGCTGGCTTTACTTAATACTATTGAGTGAAACAATGGAATGTTAACTCATTTGTAGTCATTTGAATTGGCTGATGGTAGCTATGCTTAGAAATGTTGAAATTTTAGCATATTCAAGTAGTTAAGCATCTAAATTAAATATCAGGTTGTACTATATATTTTAATGTACAACACTTACTAAATATCTGCTTTGATGTTTTAAAATTTTGTATATCAGTCTCAAAGTTGCTTAGTTGTTTATATTGCTGTTCTTAGCTAAGAGTTAAGTATGATATTTCATCAATAACTTATTTTTCTATAATAACCACATTGGATACTTTAAAAAGTTTTAATATTATAAAAAATTATAAAAAGATGAAAGAAGTATTTAGAAGTATAAAACATACACCTATTTTATAATTCAGTAATTTTATGCCTATTATCTGATCCACTTTCTTTGGGAAACCATGCTCTGTCCCCAGAGAGGTTTCGGACATTAAGAAATAAATAAAAGAGGAAGTAGCATATCTCTAGAGAAAGAGATTTACAAAGTATTTAAATTCACTATATATTCATATATTTCTTATGCGTATAAGTGCTATTTTTAATCACTATATTTGTAAACAAACATCACATTTTGTGAATCTTCCCACAGAGGTTTCATGACGTATAATCTTGTGTGTTTTATGGTACTGTGATTTGAACTACAGTTATTTATTTAAGAATTCTAAATGCATAAGTTTTGTAGTGATTTAATTTTGGAATCAAAATCAGGCTTTTTAAATGACTTTTTCTCTTAGCTGACTGCCTAGAAGTTAGGCAATGTGTAATTATAATTTTCTTTTTGGCCTGGAAAGTGAACTCAGGACCTCAAGCCTGCCAAGCAGGTACCATGCCACTGAGCTATACCTCTGGCCCACGCAGTGTGTTTTTAATGAGAAATATAATGCTTTTATTCTTGTTCATATTCCTTAATGAAAAGTACATCTTTGTGCCAATTGAAGCTATCAGTGTTTTACATTTATGAACACACAGTGCCAGATAGATTTCTTCACAAAGCAAAGTAATATTGTTACCAATTAAAAATCATTTATCTGAATTTCCAAATTTTGGGGTAAAATGTTAAAATAGTATAGTGGAAAGTAAGTAAAATGTTTATTTTTATTTTGAATCACACTAACTCCATGGGAGAAAAGAAATCACTCAAATTGTCTTTTTTTTTTTGCCATTGATGAGTTCTGTCCCCTTGAATTGACCCTTAAGTTCCTCTAATTATGGCGTACGGCATTAGCCCTTGTCTAGCTGACAAGAGTAATATGAATATATAAGATCAGATTAGGCGCTATCGTGACTATCGCTATGTTAACTCAATCATGTTACTAGTATTTCAGTAAGATTGAGAATCCAAGCCTGAGACAAAAGCCACTTTCCAGCTTTTTAAAAGATGAGCTGCTAATAAGTTGTAACATAATGATGTAGAAATAGAACCTGCTCCCCGAGGAATAATAAAATATATTAAGGTAAGGGCCGGTGAGACAGCTCAGAGGACTAGGTGCCTGTCTAGGCAAGCGCAGGGAGTGGGGTTTGATCCCTGGCACCGCGTGCTATGCCAGCCCCACCCCAGGGATGTGCTGAGCCAGCGACTGAGTCTGAGCATGGTGGTGCATGTCTGTAATCCCAGTGCTGGGGAGGCTGAAAACAGGGGGATCGCTACAAGTTGGAACTGTGTAGTGAGACACTGTACCAAATACATAAAAAGAAAGACTATATATATATATATATATATATATGCAAGATCATTCCAACTGAATAAATATTAACTTTAAAAAAAGATAAAGCTCAATCTTACTCATTTTACAGAGAATTGAAAATTTTATGGGTAAGTTGTGAAGTGGCATAAATTTGTGTTCATCTATTTAGTTGCTTCAACAGTCATTTCTCTGTAGACCAGTGGTTTCCAACAGGGCCTGTTATACTCCTTGAGGGACATTTTTGGTGGCTCCAGTGGAGAGTATGTGGCACTGGCCTCTGGTGAGTAGAATTCAGGCAAGCTGCATGCAGCTAAGTAGCCTAGGAGGCAGGTCAGCTAACCTCTCTCCCAACAGACATGATGCAACCCAGATACCAGTAGTGTGCCATCTAAGAAACTTTGCCCTGTGATTAGTGGTTTCCTGAAGTCACACAGCCTGGTGGTCTTTAGGGACGCACCTGACACTCATATATAAACATTATCATCTGAGGGTAGCAACGAAGATACCAGGGTCCTATGGAATGTTAGGATGCAAATAGTGAGCACATATTTTCATAGTATTTGGAAAATACTCAAGTCTGCAGCCTTGTGAGCGCTTCATGCAAACCACTCTTAGAATGCTTAGCTTCTCTACTCGAGGTGGATGCTAATAATGACACAGATTAGGATAAAGGAAATATTAAATGTACAAATGCAAAAGTTTCATAATTTCATTTATTAATAAAAACCACAGAGAGCGTAAACAATGAAACACACCATAATGTAGCCATATGGGGCAGGGTTGAGGTTGAAATGGTGCAAGGAGCTCTTTGAATTGATGCTTACAGGAGTTTCTGAGGTTTTTTCATGAATATTGTTAGTAAAGAGTCAACTAAGGGTTTTGGGGAATAGCTCAAGGACAGAGCCCTTGCCTGGCATGCTCAAGGCTCTGGGTTCCATCTTTCACACTGCCAAAGCAAATAGATGGATGGATGGACGGACAGATGGACGGATGGATGAACAGACAGACAGACATATAGACAGACAGAGAGATAGACATATATACATATAGACAGACAGACAGACAGATAAACCAACCAAAGTCAGTGTATGACCTTTTAGTTACTTAAGATTCATTGTATGCTTTTAGCTTTCAGCACTGGGCCCCTTGTTTATGAAAAGCTGGAGAGTTGAACGTGACATTGTGAAATCTGATTGGAAGCCTGGTTTTTCAAGTTGCTGATCAAACTACAAAAAACTTTGCAGTGGTCTGTTCTCTTGTAGACTTTAAACTTCTTTCTCTGTCCTATGCTTTTGATAGGCTGTAATATGCCCCCAGGGCGAGGATCTTTTCTGGTCATGCCTATTTGAGGATTTGTAGGTTGGATATCCATGTCTTGCTTCAAATTGGGAGAATTTCTGCTATTATTTCATTGAATAGGCCTAGTCCCATGACCTTTACTTCTTCCCTTTAGGTTATCTCAATGATGTGGACATGCGATCTTCTAAAAGTACCCTTAAGATCATGTGTGTGCTATTCATTTCCCCTCTTATTTCTATCTGAGTGTAGTATTGTGAAAGACCAGTCTTTAAACTCTGATATTCTTTCTTCCACTTGACCTAGATTGTTGCTGGATTTTCATTTGAAATCTCTTACTAGAGAGTTATGATCATTGGTATTTCTTGCACCGCTGTTTGAGACGGGCACATCTAGTGGAGTGGGTATTTCTGCTACTTTTGTGGAATGGCTTTCTCAGTGAGTGACTTCCCTCTGAAGGTGTGTCTCAAGATATGGAACATATACTTCCAGCTGGGTGTCATGCTGCAGTCTTGTAGTTTCTTTGGCTGTGATCAGTGAGTCTGAACACATTATGGACCATACTGCCTCGGAGAGATCACTGCTTCTGTGGGTTGGACAGACTGGGGATGGCTGAGCCGCTCGGGCAGGTGTCGTATAGATAGCGATGTGTGAGGTGCACCTGTGTGGCTATTCCTGCAGTGGAAGTGGGGCCTCTACTGGGTGATGCCTGTTTCTTTAGAAACTGTGAGTGTTGCCTGACTGGAACGACCTCTCTAGTGGTGAAGGGCTTGAAGCCCTCGTAGACATTATTAGCCTAGGCTCCAGGTATTTGGGGGGAGAGAGGGGCAGGAATCACAGCATCCCTTCTGTGACACTCACACCTACTCTGACAGTAGTGTGTGATCAGGCAAGATGTGGGGGTGACTCGTGGAGGGGACCAGTGTAAATGCAGTGGCATAAAAGTGCAATTATTCTTCTGTGCTTCTGCTGTGGCTGTCCCCAGGAGCTCTCTTGCTCTGTGTGTCTAATAGCAGGGTCTTGGCTGGGGGTTCCCTTACCTTTTGATTATAGTTTCCCATAAGGGGAAGAGCAGGGAGGGTCTTGTTTGGAGCCAGGTAAAATTCTCAGCTGAGGTGCTCACAGGCATGTGGGAGCATGGAACACTTTCTCAGGGGTTTGTGTCAAGGTCACCCCGTCAGGCCAGCTGAAATGGCATCTGTGGGGTCCTTGGATGGGAATATATAAACCTTTTAGCCCAATTTGGACAAGAGTTCCTTCTCCAGATGGTGCCCCTGAGTTCAGTGGAAGATGAATTCCTTCTCCAAAGCCAGCCAGCTGTGCAGATTTCTGGCCTGTCTGTTTAGGCTGCCGAGACCACAGACTGTCCAGTAGCTGGGAGGGCCAGTGTCTGTGCTGATAGCATTCGCAGTGACTCTCTTGTGCCTTTTCCACCATGGTAAGGTGTGATCAGGGCCAGGTGAGGGTGAGGGTAAGGTGGTGTGCATGTCCTGGCCAAGGAGCTGCTGTGGCAGATGCTGGGAAGTGTTGCTTCTCTTGCTATGTTGTGGTTTCTGAATGGACAAGATTTCTGTTCTCTATGACTGAACTCCAGTGTTTTCCTGTGGCCACTCAACTCACAGCTGCCCGCCTGCTGCTTTGTTTCTTCTTTAATACTTGGCCACCTTGTCAACCCCTTGACCACCCCAGGCTCTGGCCACTTCTTTCCAAACTTGATGGTAAACATCTCTGCTGTTCTCAAACATTCTTCCAGGATTCCATCCATCTGGTCTCCTTAGCTTGTGAAGGTACTTTGGGGCGTGCGTAGCGATCCGCCTTGGCATCCCCATGGGGGGACCGTCCCTGGAGGCTCTTATGCAGTCCCCGTCTTGCTCAACTGTCCCACTTACCAAAGGGCCCCAGCTCTTAATGGTCCTATCACTGCCCAGTGGTGCCAGATAGAGGAGTGAGCCTTTAGCACATGGGCCTTTGGGGGACACTCCAGGTCCAAGCAAAGGCATTCACTCTTATTATTGAGCATGGTATTGTTTATTTCACTCTCCTCCATAAAAATATCAGCTCCGAGAGGGCAGAAGTTTTGCTGGTTCTTTTTAGTGGTTTCTTTGGTAGCTGAACAGTGTGGAACATAGAAGACACCTGCTGTGATTTAGAATGAATGCTTTTGGCCATGTGGTAATAGAAAGGACTTGCTTCTATCGGGGTGCATTGGGTTTTCACATCAGCCTTGAAAACGGATGTTTCCTAATTCCAAGATTCAGTATTATGAAAACTTTATTTCCTGTCACAGTTAGCTGGGTCATCCAACCATTCTTCAGCCATTCATAATGTCAGTGACATCACAATAAAGGAAAGCCCCATTCTCAACCACCACAGAGGGTATAGTCTAATAAAGAAAGTAGACCAAAAAGAAAATGCCAAGTAATTTCAGTCAAATGTGCTGGTCATTGCAGCCAGAACTCTGCAGCAAGACGGCCACATGAGGTATTGTGGAGGGACACACTAGGAACTCAGCCCCTTCCTGCAATGCCTTCCTGACCGACAGAGGCAGAAGCTGAGATCTGAAAAGAGTAAGTTATAGCCAAGCAAAGGAGAGAAAGAGAGAGCGCTAGACAAAGGGAACCAGCACATTCAAAAGGCCAGAGGGCAGAGAGACCCTGGTGCCTGGAGTGGGTTTGGACGAAAGGCAGGGATCTAAGAGAAAAATAATACCATGGGTAGCGAAATAATAACATGGTGTGTCGTGTTGAAGATTTCCGGATTGTAGCCAAATGGAAATAAGAAGCCAGTGAAAAGTTTTAAGTAGTAAACCTGGTTAGGAAAGCTGCATGAAAGTGCTTTGCACTCAGTGACATCATCATCAACTGACACGTAGGATGGTAGTTACCGTCGCAGGAACCGCTGTTTCTTTCTTCCAGAGATCATCTAACTGATTAGGCTTGGCTCAAATTGTGGAGTACATGAGAGTAATCCATATTCCAAGAAGCTATTGATTAGTTAGTGGTTTGCAGAATCCGCAGCCCCATCCAACAGGATCAACACAGCTGAATCGCTAGATTTAGAGACTCAGATGGACTTTAGGCACCTGCAGTCAGCAACATTGGCGGCAC